GACTTCCCCTAAAAGTATGAATTGTGCTGCACTGACCTCACTTGATTTTAGTCACGATAGTAAAAATTGATAGAACTAGCATGGCTGTGTAAGACAGAGTGTGTCACCAGTCTTACAAAAAGTCATGAATCTGTAAATAATCCCCTCCCGCATACAGTAATTAACAATACTATCTACCAATAGATTCAAATATCAATACATAGCAAAAGAAAATCAGATCTCTATCAGCTATTGGTGTGGATGAAGTAGAGGAGCATTTACGTAACTTGGAGGAACACAGAATGAGATCAGACACTTCAGTGAGTGTTTCAATCAACATTTTATTTCAGGTGTGTTTTTTTTTTTTTTAAAACAAGTCAAAAGTTTGAGGTGCATAGTTATGAAGGAAGCATGAGCAACATGTTCACAAACACATACAAACAGCTGAACATTAAGAAGACAAGTCGATTCAGGACTCCTGTGTTGTGACATCAGGGGTGTGTGGTTGAGTTGATCGCACTCTGTTGTAAGAGTTTGATGCGAGATTTCAGCTTATTATAAAATGCAGTGGTGTGTATAATGTCTGTAGCATTGGATAGTGTAGGATGAAGTGATGAGTGAATTTGTTATTTTGATTAAGATAGGAGTTACATCTACAGCCATGTTACAGTTACAATAAAAAACATTGTCCCGGTATTTCAAAACGCAGAACCGCAGTGAGAGAATGTGGAGAGGTTGGTGTCAGTCTGTTCTTGTACTGCAATAAATCTCTTAACCTGCTGGCCTTGGTCTTTGCAGCTATCTCTCTTCAAAGAGTTATAGGAGGAGGCAGTTTGCTAGATTTGTGATCACATATTGACGCACAATATGCATCACATTTTGCTCTCTGAACCACCAAAATGGGAACACATATAGCTCCTGATTCTTCTCGTTTTATTAATCATCCTCCTTGATCCGGTTTCTAGTAAAGTTAAAGTTTGTGCTGAACTACACCAACATGAGATCAATGGATTGATCTTCTGGTCTGTGTGGAATGTCGAAAGCAGACGTCAGACTCTTGGCTTGGCAGTGTGAGTTTCAGCTGCTAGAAATACAGGTTTTTTTTTATTTAAGTACAGAGCAATATCCTCCACAATTTAGTACTGAGACACATTTAAATCAGCAGTAGAGTAAAACAAATGTGTTTTTTTTTGTAAATGTCAGTGTACTAAGAGAGTTTTCTTTTGTTTTTGTCATTATTAGAGTGTAGTTAACAACAGCAGACGTGAGACTCTTGGATTGGCAGTATGAGTTTCAGCTGCTCTGGCAGTAAGAGCAATACTAACTCTAAAGGAATCATAATAGTGGTCAGTCAGTGTTCGACGGTATAGCACTCAGACTGGGACTATTCAATGCTCACTGTAAGAGAAAAATTGATAGAGGATTTGTGCGAGTATCCTTTTCCTTAAACATTTTATTGTAAACTTACACACACAAATCACCCCCTTTATGCTTGAAGTTAAATTACCCAGTGTGCACAGGGGTTTAAATGATCCAATTCAACTAGAAGCAATTAGTGTAGCAACAATGTCAACTCTTGTTTATCAGCATATAATGTGTTTAGCCATGGAGTTGTATTCATATTTTCATTCTCAGTTACAAACTAAAATCACTGTTTTAAGCCTACACTACAACTATCTCGTTTAAAATGCACTGATTGAGTGCATTTTCATATTGTGTGTCTCATCAGCAGACACTACTGTAGAGAGCAGATGATTGTATGTGATGGCATTAACCACTAGGTGGCAGTGGTACTGTGTTGACTTTGCTGTTCTGCTCAAAAGCTAAGGGGGCCCACACTGTACAGGCCTTTAGTCAGTACTGCAGCAAATACTGCAAGCAAGCTGCTGACCTCAACTCATGTAAGATTTTATAAAGCTGTTTGGGTTTTTTTTCCAGAAAGTCCAGGCAGTTCACAATGTAGGAAGGGCCATATGTTAAAAAAAATACAAGAAAAAAAGAACCTTTAAACTGGTAAAAGAGTGAATGCTTTTGGCAATTCATAATCCAGCACAGATCTATGGGGTGGTCACTCAAACACTCTCCTCACATACCTGTGTCTGGTTCACTGGATTTCTTTTCTTTTTTTTGTATTTGATTTTTGCAAGTAGTTTCACTTCAGGGAAATAACTTCATAACAGAAAAGCAAGATAGAGAAAATAAGGAATCTCTTAAAAAGTGATGCAGTGTTGATAAGCATATAACCAGGAAACATTACAAAAATCCACCTAGGGATCACAATGAAAATGAAAAACAACGATGCAAAATTAGCCACAAATGTTGAAGTAATGCATTACTATCTCTACATGAAACCATCTACAGGATTTGTTATGCAATGTCAGGGTTACAACAAGAGACAAGATCCACTTCACAATATTGCTTTTCCCTACAGGAAGACTTTGGATATACATAATGTATCCTCTTTGCAGAGGGATCTATACATTACTGTCTAGACAAGGAAGCGATCGTGTGTGTGCATGTTTGTGTGTGTATATGTGTGTGTATGCCTGTGTGTGTTTGTGAAGTGCTTCCTTATATCCATAACATTCACATTTGTTCGACACAGCAAGTACACTGTATCACTTCTAACACTGCACAGTCAGTCGCAATGTTAGTGTCTATTACAGGTTTTTTTTGTTTCCCAAGGCAGATAAATGCAGATATATGAATCTAATGTTTACACATTAGTACATTGTAGATACATATATCAGTACAATGAATGGTGTCTTGGACAAACACAGTTGCCATCACAGCCAGTCCAGACACATCTATAAAGTGCCTTATAACAGGTTATTGCATAATCTGATGTCCGTCTTATTGCTTCCATTGAAAGCAAGAAGGGAAATGCACTCCAGTATGAGAGAGAGCAGCAGGCTGACACAAAGTGAAACACTTAGAAAAATAAGATTACATCTTTCTATAGAGCTCTGTTCCAGTGAGACATCATTAGACAATGCTAAAGCCATTTGGACATAATGCTCCTCTTAGGTTCTCAGTCAGACTTGAAAAACAAAACATATTAATTTTATATGAACTCTGGAATTGTGTACCATAAAAAAATAACGAATTAAAATACCTTACATGATTTCCTGTTTTGTTCCTGACTCTAAACTGTGGTAAAGTGCTGCATTGCTTGTATCCAAGTGTACTACTACACTTTTTGTATCAAACAGGCTCTTATTATGTGAGTGCACTTGTGCGTCTGTATGTGGAGCTTTCAGCTGTCGTAGCTATTTAAGCTATGCGTGAGGGTGTGGCAGCTCATATACTGAAAACCACATACAGTCCTGGCTCTGGATGCCAATAGACATCTTAGCACTACGTCCTTCCATTTTGAAGTGATTGAATTAGATTTTGACTTTTATTTTCTTTCTTTAAAAAATAAAATAAATAAATGTGAAATCTGAGCACTTTTTCCAATAAAAATGTGTTAATTACTCTCCGAGCTCCCTCACTTGTTCATCTGTACAACATCTCTAATGCTAAGACACTACCTAGACACCAAACACAAACTTTGACCCGTTATCTTCAATGCTCAGAATATTCAAATCCTGTCACAGCAGTCATTTTTTTGGCAAATTGACCTTTGAACCGAGCAAACACACAAGACAAATGGCAAATAAAATGAACCACTTGCCTATTGAGATATGAACACATTCATTTGATAGTAACATTAATGTTTAATAAATTATCTTAATCAAAAATAGTTTTTGGGAACTGAGTCTCTTACATTCGTTTTCAGCTATCCCTCCCAATGGTGGGTTTCCAGTATTACTGAGCCATGGGGTTTGTCTTTTCTTGACTGTTAATATGGAATTAAGCCATATAGATTATGTGAACTAATGCAGAAATATGTGGATTCAAATCCTGTTAAGTTTTGTTGACCATTTTTGCAAGCATTTTCTCGACTAGAAGAGTCACCTTGCAGTGACCTTGGCCTGGTTAAAGGGGGTATTGAAAGATGTGACATTGTTGAGAGGTTGATGTGAAGTGTTGATTGGGACCATACGGCGGCACAAAGACATGTTTTGGTGCTGTGGTGCTAGACAATACTCTATAAACTGTAAAGTATACTGTACTTATATGAAGTTATATATAAAATGCGCACATGCTAAAAATGCATTGATTATTTGTCAGAAGCAGCATGATTAAGTTCATTCCTTTCTATAGGGAGCTGGGTAGTCAGGGGATTGTCTTTGATGAGGGGGTTTGGGTTTTTATACATTTTCTGTGGTTTCATCCTCCCACCAGCAGAGGGAGCAGAAGCAAAACAGGCACCTGTGTTTCATCTAAAGCGAAATCATAAAAAACCTTTGCAGAACTGGATCACCTGAGACACCTTAGATAACGCCCAGTTGTCAGCCTCAGCAAACCAAAAGTGAGTCAACTCCTGCCGTCAGCCTTATTGAACCAAATAATCCCCACAGTACGCCAAACCTGGACCATGGTAGCAATCAAGTTGGTGGTTAGAACAGGAAAAACAAATGTAACAATAGCTTTAGAGATATCAACTAATGGATTTCCTGGTTGTAATCTGAACAAATTTACTGAGAGATGATGGCTTTAATCTATGTTGAAAAGAAAAAGGTTGATTTGGTAGGGTGGGACAGAAGCTTGCTGTTCTTCAGCTGACATCATGGCAGTTAGTTATGGCATCAAAGTGTGTGTGTTCCCTAGGTCAGGTTTGCTCGGGTCCAAGTTTGACGTAGACTTGTAGATTAAAACAGAGCCTTATGATTTCAAACCAAGCATCATACAGCTTTTTCGCTATAGTCTTCTGACACTGTTTTTCAGCGTGACAGCTGATTAGAACAAATTTGACGTATAAATAAAGAACTGAAAACAACTAGAGATCTGCTCAGTACAAAGTCCTTTCTCTAAAACTGTGGAAAAGTGACTATTCGTCAGAGCACATGACACTAAAGGCTTCAAAATTAGAAAGAAAAAAGTTGTAACCTGAATGATCCATATACCTCTGAATGTCAAAGAGGGTATATGGAAAGCACAAATATACACACCGAGACAGTTTACCCAAGACTCTGTGTGAAGTGTTTGGTTACAGTAGCATGAAGAGTAGAATTTGATATCAGAGGCTGTGTAACAAATGGGCTGCCATGTAGGTGAGGGTGATCCAGGCCTGTGCACATTTCACACCTCTCAAATCTCAAGCATGATTTAAAATAGACTTTTACAATGTATTAGTTAGCCATTAGTAAGATATAACAGTCCACTGATAACAGTATCTTCTCTGAGCGTGTAAGTTGTTCTAACATATGTACAGACATACTTTTGCATTCTGCTCATGCCTTTGGTGTCCCTTTGTTGTCTGCTTTGGCTCCTGTAGGTCCATTTTCGGTGTTGTCATTCCCTGAGGAGCTCACCAGGCACTCTTTACTATAGGGGGAGGGGGGGGGGCAGAGAAAGCAAAGATCAAAATGGAGCTTCACCCGCAGAGAGAGAACACAAGAATGATAATGCCTTTATATATAAACTGATACTACAGGGATTTTCAACACCCTGACCCTCATAGCCCCATATGATAATCTTGTGCTGGACCCAAATTGGAAATATGTAATTAAAATGACTCTGAAACACATACCGAAGAATATTAAGACGGCTAATTTAGAACCTGTTAACTTGATGGCTCTGTATGTTATGTCGATTTTTTTTTACAATGGATCTGCATCTCTAGGAGTTACATGGGCTAAAATAGAGCTCAACTCCCCTAACAGAGAATAATAACTGGCTGTTGAAACCCTGAATAAATGTACAAAACAAGAAGAATGATAAGGACATGCACTCCTAATTGTACCTTTAGTTGACACACGGATGTTTCGAGCAGTTGCTCTTCTTCAGAGTGTAACAGGAAGGTTACATGTGCTTGCCAAATGATTGACAAGGGAATGTAAACTACCTGTGAGTATAGTGCAATACAAATAGCAATTTTCCTGCTTGATGATGCAGTACTTGTTTGTACTAAGAACGGCTCAATAATCGATGTTTGTAATGACAGAGTTTTATTAAAGTGACTTTGTGACTGACTCTCTGTCGAGTGAGCTTATCTAACAAAAGCGGTCAACATAATTATGAGGGTTAATGCTAGTAGTTAGGCATCATCACTGTCAGTGAGTATGTAGGTCATTTAATTAAAATAACAGACCATTAAAGGTAGGGTTGGTAATATTTTTCCAGATACACTTTTTAAGATTTTGGTTGAAATTGTCTTTAGGTCCTGATAGGAATTTATAACTCATGAGCTCTGAAAAAGGAATGAAGAAAATCCGTCATATGTAGCAGTTGTAAGCCTGTAAAAACTTCGACCAATGTCTGCCACACTAAAAGGATGAGCTGAGGTCCGCTTCTGGACCAATGGCGCTTGTTCATGTTAGTGAGGGGCCATGGCTTTTGAGGGAGCACAGAGGGGAGGGGGTGGGTGCAGACGCAGCACTGAGGGAATGCTACTCTCAAAATCATGCTATTTCAAAAAATACCAACACTGCCTTTAATAATCCAGTATTTTAAAAAGTAAAAACAATATAACGTTTAATAACAGAAGCCAGTGAGCCAGACATGCAGTGATGTATAATTCAATCCTAAAAACCGTCTATTAGTGATTAGAATTCATCTTGTTTTCATGTTTGTCATCATTGGGTTTACTCACTTCTTTTCATCATCCTTCAGCAGAAAGTGAACAACCAGGGCTTTTACCACCATGACAAAGATAACCAAACCAATGACTCCGCCCACAACTGAGACAATGATGGTTGTCAAAGTGTTGTCGATCTCCGTCACTGAAAAGAGAGAGAGAGAGAAATATATTGTAAGGGAGAAAGTCGAGGAAAGTAGACAAAAAACATTTTAATAAATAGTCTTTCCAAGAGTGAAATCCAACTCTAGAAACCATCATTAACAATTGTTATGGATGTGAAGATGCAAGCTCCTTGTACTGTAAGCATGGTACAAATCATAGTAAGGCGTATGGTAGGGAGTGCACATGTTACATACCTTGGTCCACCACTATAAGAGTGAAGATAGCACTGTGGTTACGATTCTTCTCTTTTGGGTTTTTGGCGAAACAGATGTAGTCTCCCGCATCTTCAAAGGTGATGTTGTAAAGCAGTATGGAGATGTTGTTGCTCTTTGAGGAGCCGACAAACTCCACACGCTCATGGTAGACACTGACCTTTGGCTCCACACCCTCAACGTGTATAACAGCTTCGCATAACTAAACACACACACACACACACATACATACATGGCTGTAGTTAGATACAGAGAGGAAGTCAGATGTTTGTATGAAAGCTCTTCTGCATCTGCTTGTGTTAACATTTAGGTTGTTTTCACAACTACGGCTCCTTTGCCTGGTTCTGACTCAGATGAGAAAGTGATACATATTTCCCTTTGGTCAGTTTGTGTTCACAATGTAGTATTGTAAAGCGGGCCAAGGCACACATCAATGCAGGGCTGTCGCATTACGTCACAGCCTCCTCTCTCGCTGCGTAAGTACAGGTAAGAAGAAAATTCCATGCGTAGCGCAGTCGCACTTTGCAATGTGGGATGGCTCCAGGACGCTACTTAGTTAGCTAGCTAAAATACCAACAAAATGAAAATGGTGTTGAATTGGAGCAGCAAGGATGTTAAATATCACATGAATATAATAATATAATATAATAAACTTGTGAATCTGTGCATGATTGAGAGAGGCTTTCGACACTCTACTGGTGTTATGGTTCAATTTGTCACCCTGATAACTGGTGACTTTGAGGCAAATGCCTTTGAGGTGGTTAACAACGGCTGTTGAAAAGAAAAGAAAATATTGCCAAACGTTCCTTAGTTTAGTTTTCATCTTAACAAAGATTACCTAATTAGTTAACTTAAATTAAAAATGAAAGATAAACCAAGAGGCATTTGTGAGTGCTCTTGCTGTTGTCATGTCATGCATCTGAAAGTCGCCAGTTAACATGGTCACTCTAACACCTGTTGGCAGTCTCATGAGAGACGAGCCGACAGCACCGTGTAAAGTTACGAGACCAGCATGACTAACGGGGAGGTTCAGGTGATGAAAAGCAAAAAATTCTCCTGGTTCAACAAGCTGGACAAAACTATTGAGTTGTGGAACCAGAAGTTGTTGTCAAGTTCACATAATGTCCAAACAAACATGGGCCAAGGGGAAAGCGACCCCTTGTTTCAGAACAACTTCTCTAAACAATTTAGGTGTGAAAACACCCTAATTGTTTTTGAATTTGCAAAAAAGAAATGGTTGATATTTTGTTGTTTGTTTTTACTGTTTGTTCATGTGGCTCATGCTTTTCCATTGTGCGTTTTTTTGGTGTATGCCGTACCTTTTCCATGGTTCCGTTGTTGTTGAAGTGCCAGTTGAAGTAGAGGTTTTTGATTCCAATGCAGGAGGAGTAGGTGCAGGGCAACAGGACTGTGGAGCCATTCATTGCTTCAACAAAGGACACTTTACCTGTCGAGACCTCCAGTCCACCAACACTCCATACACCTGAAGCAAGAGAGAAAGGGGAAAGCTCAGACAATAAAGAAACAAACCAGAAAATATACCTTTTTAATTCAAACTGAGTACTGCACTGGTAGAGAACAAAGAAAACACACACATGATGGATAAAATAGGTCAGTTACTGTTAAGATTGTATTACATCAGAAATACGGGTAACAATGACAAATCATAAAATAATGCTTATGTGCTGGCATGCTGGGTTGGTGTAGGATTACTGCTAAAGATAAGTGCTGCTCATGAGTAATGGCATTACAAAGTTAAGTAGCTTACTTACTGTAAGCATAGCTCATGAAATGACAGCTTCCTGCACTCCACATACTCAATACTTATTATTGAGTTTTTAATAGCAGTATATTCCAAATTATCTGTGGGAAGCCAAAAGATTTAAAGCGCCCCCAACTGACTGACTGCAGCATAGGTCATGAACCCTGCCTCCTCTAAGTTAACAGATGGGACATGGGGACAACTTAAAATAATAACACATCAAAGAATCGTTTCTTATTTTTAATATTGGACAGTTTTTCTGCCTCAATTTGCAGTCACTCGGTTTTTAAAGAGATCTTAAACAAGTGCCTAGCATTCAGCAGTATTTGAATGCACTAGGTTACAGTATATCAAAATAATTTTATTGTTTGTAAATTGTATTCTCTTCCTGCTATTAGACTGCAATACCTACATTTTTAGTATTCTGTGATAAGACTTTGCAGTTGTTTTCATTTTAATCTTCGGTGGGTTCCTGGTACAAGCCCTTGGGGGGACTCCTTTGTCCCACCTGTGCATTTTGTATACACATGTCTTCTTCTGTCTTATTTTGTTATTCTTTCTTCTCCACAGATAAAAATATATATGAAGCTAAAATGAGTTATTTGATGATTTAAAACGTTGTAAAATACTGTGATTGACAACTCTGTTGATGCAACTCCTGCAGTGCTGTGTGCAACAGATTTTTAAGGTAGAGGTGAAACAGTGAGCAACACTAACACAAGAGCCATTGAACTTGTATAACCGTGAGTGAATGCTTCAAGCTGACACAACAATCTTTTCTGCCGTACACTGTTCTGACCTGAGGGCTCTCTGCATTTTTTTAACAATCATTTAAATGTCTGTTTTTTTACAGTGGAAGCAGCATGACGTCAATACCTGGGCTCTTCCAGAGAATCCCTACTGTTCAGTCTCTGACTCTGAATGAGAATTATGTCAGTGACAGTCAAAGGGGCATACTGGCTTCACTTATGGATAATGGGAGGAGTTGGAGACACAATATTAATCAATCAATCTTTATTTGTATATCACCAATTCAAAAATAAATGTATTTACAAAAAGAGCAGGTCTAGACCTTACTCTTTGTTATATTATCTACAAAGACTCAACATTAATCCATCATGAGCAATAAGCAACATTTAGCAAAGTTAGAGTAACAAGGAAAAACTGCCTTTTAACAGGCAGAAACAAGAAACCATCCATTGCATATCTTAATTAATGCTGATGATATAGTTAAAACTAACCGCCTTAGTCTTCATTATTCAGTTCATTAGCCTAAAGGCTAACTTACAGGGTACTGAAAATATAAATCCAAGTTCTATTAACCATTACTCAAAACATGGCAGTTACAGATGGACTGAGATGAGGAACATTTATAACAGAGCATGTAAAAGTGAATTATATTTAGATAACCTGTATAAGGTCTGATACATATACCAGTAGAATCCAGGTTTTTAGTATTCAGTATATTTTTGACATGCTACAGCATATGTAAACATTGTTTCACTGTTTCATCAGTCATCTCTGAAAGCAGGGACCATTGTCGACCCTCAGGATGTGATGCTGCATCATATTATAATTATGTTTTTTAATTTACTTTGAGAAGAATGAAAATATGCAGGGTTAGGGAAGGAAAACCAAAGCTTTTTATAAAAGTCAATGTTGAACAATTTTACAAATTTAAGATAAAAATGTAACCTGCCTAGTTATTGTCTGCCACGATGTTGTAATATCCCCATCAGTGCATTTGTGGGTCTTAAATGCTAATAAGTCAACATCAACAGCACTGAAGTGGGGGGACAAAATCATCTTTTTTTTTTCATACGTTTATTTTCCTGTGACAGAGCCTGCAGGACACAAAACATATTGTGACTTTTTAATTTTCCCCAAATGATTTGAGTCTGTCTGGATGGGCTCTGAGGGTTTTGCAGTGACAGCTGCTGTGATTCCCAGATTGTTGCTCTGATGTGTCTCACACTCTTGGGGCCTATTTATAAACCCTCTTCCTGACCTGCTCAGGATCACATTGCACTTGGACATGATGCAAGAAGTGTAAGAGTTCATACTTGTCCATATGTTGTTGTTTTTTTTTACTTGAAAAGACTTACATCTGGGGGCACGGGTAACCTAGTGGTTAGTACGTGTGCACCATGTACGGAGGCTATATTGTCCTCCAAGCATCCCGGGTTCGAATCTGACCCCACTCTCTCTCTCTCTCTCTCTCACAAGTTCTGACTATCCACTGTCCTATCTCTAAAATAAAAGCATAACCCCTCCTACAAATAAACCTTAAAAAAACAGCTTTGTACTAACAAAACAAAACACTGGAATCCCTGGGGTCTAATTCAGGAAATGATTGTGAGCACATTCAGTGTAGACACTCAGTAATCAGTTGGAGCTGCTCTCTTTCAAGTAAAGATGAATTGCCTTGTTTTATTCATTTACTTGTTTATTTTTGCTAATATTGGCACTGTTATTCTGCAGTAGACTTTTTCAAGTGAATGTGCTTAATTGTTCAACACTAAGTGTAACAGTGGAAAAACTGGATTTTTTTTTTTTTTAGAGTAATCAAAAAACACATCCCCGACTGTTCCTCTCTCTCTCTCTCTACAACAGGCTTTCCCAACCTTGGGTCCAACCCTATGTGGGGTCGCATGGAATTCATCTGAATTTAATATTTATTGATTAATAAAAAACATATTCTTTATTAAACTAAACACAGGATAATAGCCAATGCCAAAACATGAACCACTCTGTCTATTTATCGTCCATTGTGCAGAAATGTCATCCTCTGCCTGCCTCCATAATAATATACAGAAAAATACCCAAATGTCATCTGGAATGAATGTTTACTTGCAACACAATAGAAAAATGATTACATGATTGAAAACAAACTTAGCAAAAAGCTGTATGTGTTTTGGATGTCTGTGGGTCCCAGAGTTTTGTGAAGTCAAAGTGGGGTCACCTGCTGGAAAGAGTTTGGGAACCACCGCTCTGCAGTATTTTAGAGATTTCACATACATGTACCAGTGTGAGTAATAGTGTGTCAAAACAAAGACACAAAGTCACTGACAGAATCCTGCATGGTGTAGCAGGATTAGTGTGTTTTGAAAACAGTCTAAAGGCGGATATCAAGTTATAGATACAGTATGATGCTAGATACCAGATGTGATTTTTTACCCCCTCCTTGTACTTCCTCTGCCTTGTTATTCCCCTCTCTCAAATCCCCTGTATGCCTTGTAGGGCTGAACTGACTCCTCCACAGATGTTTTGTTCAGTATTATTTTTTTAGAAAAGGAAACAGATGTGATTCAAGGGAAATACAAGAAAATTGAGTAAGTGATTAAGAGACACCTGATCTTGAGAAGAAAAATCTAAACTTCTGCTCAAAGCCCCGCAAAACTGTGATGACAATAACTGTGATTGTTCCTCTTATTGTCAAGTGTTGGATGTCTCAGCGTTGCTCTAAAGGTACAGGGTTATTAGACCTTGTATTTCAACGTGTGTTTGTTTGTACTTTTTCTTGAGGCTGGCTGAGTAATAAAACAGTCTTCAAAAGGGAACACATCCTGTGTCTGCAAAAGAGCATGCCAAAGACACAACCTAAAACTGCTTTATTGAGGAGATTTTTTTCTTATTAAAAGGCAACAGGCATGAGACATGTGTTTAACTAGATTCAGTATTTAACTCATGAATAGTCTGGTTTCAGCATTATCAGATCAGATATCATTATAAAATCAGTTTTGCTCTAAAAAGAGAAAGTATCCTGATCATGCTTTGTTTCTTGAATTTTGCCAAGCCCTTATTTTCTCTCCCTTTTGTTCAGTTTTCCAGATCTGCTCTTTTAGTTTTCTCAGTCTTTGGCCCTTTCATCTTGTCATCTAACACTTGATATTTTTACCTCCCCTCTGCAGTCATAGTGGCCTGTCTCCTCTACTTTCAGCAACAACTCATGCCATTTGGCTTCTCATTGTTCTTCCCTGTCTCTGATTCCGCTCTCTTTTAATGGGCTCTTACTATTTTTGTTTGCAGAAGACGACACATTATCTCTCTAAAAAATGTTTTATTTCTAATCATGGCCTTTTTGTCTTACTATCTCAGAACTTCTTCCACAAGGATGCAAGCACTAAGAAAACAAAATATTTTAGGAGCTTGTCTGTGAGTTTGTCTTATTTTAAAACTGCACAATTATATTTGAAACATTTTAGCTGGCTGGTGTTCGGTTTATTTACGTTTCCTTTTAAACTCTGTGTTAAGTTGACTCTTCTGAATAATTACTGGCCGGTACCACTCAGCAATTCTAAAAGGGATCCAGAGGGAGTAATAATGCCAAGTAAAACAAAAACCAATACAAGGGTGAGTCTCTCTACTTTAAGGCATACTCTCAGTCTGTAACCAGAAGCAAACACAGTGATGTTTTACGTATCTCAGAGGAGTGTCCCCCCTATGTCTACAAATACATTTCTCTCTTCCATCATTTTACACCTCGGCTCTCTACTATCCCTTTTTATCGCCGACTTTCCTCATCTCTCTTCTTCTATCTTTACAGTTTGACTCACATACTTTAGTTGTGAACTTGCGGCTTTGTTGTGTGTGTGTGTGTGTATGTGTGCGTACATGAGTTGTAGGCTGGAATGTGATATTTTTAGCTCCACTATCAAATATCTCTTTGTTCCAGTTGGGAAACATCAATACCTAAATAACTGATAGCAGGAAAAGCAGCTACAGTACTGCATGTGTTTGTGTGTGTATGAATGTGTGTGTACGTGTGCTCGTGTGCGTGCGTGTGTGCGTGTCCTTGGCTGACAGTCAAGGTGATATGTTTTTTTTTGTCTTATTTTAAGTAGGCCAAAGATTGGAGGGTTAATGTATTTCCGAGTGAACCCATAGAGAACTGACCGAGGACACCATTACCTCAGTTAGAGAGAGACAGCCAAAGAGAGGGAGAGAGAGAGAGAGAGAAGTAATGGTAAGGGTGAGCTAGAAAGAAGGAGAGAATGGACCACATGGAGCAGAGTGGAGGAGCAAAAATTAAATGGGGAAGCAGTGGTAATGAAGGAGGTAGAGTGTGTAGGGAGTGATGGAAAGGGTCACAAGGGATGGTTATTGAGAGAGACGGGGAGTGAGATGTCCTCTCCAAGGTGGGGGAGTGACAGCAGAGGAGAGAATTACAGCAGCAGCTAAGTAAGTCTATCAATGGCGGTCAAGGTTGGCTCACGTTTACATGTTAGGATACACACATATGTAATATGATAGTAACGCAAACAAGTAACAACGTGGGGTATAATTTTCACATTTACATGCCTGATAGTTAACCCTTTCTGGTACTGACAACCTCAGCTATTCCACATTGCTTTGCAGAATATCACAAACATTCCTGCTGTGGGTATATTGTCGGCCATATTCTTGCCTAACCCAATAACATAACATAAGGCACATGTAGGAATATTTTGGACTTTAGAAATTTGTTGTTTTCTGAATGATTAATTTGTATTTGGTCTGGAGAGTAGTCAGTAGTTTGCTCTTTAAAAAGATAACAGCTTGTTACATCCCTTGTATCTCTATGTAGACAATAATGCATGGTATAGTTTGAGGGTTCATACTACACTATTGCAGACATAGATGTATTCGTTGAATGGGACACAGTTGACAACATGTTGCTATCAAATCTCTGTTGTATTGCAAGTTTCACTGGTCCCAATGAGGACTAACTGTCTGTTAATGTTGAGTTTTTTGGGGAGCCTCTCATTTCTCCTTCATGCTAGATATGCTTTTGAATGAGTCTTTGTTCAGTTCTTTGTTTCACTGACTTCATTTCCTGGAACCAAATAGTCTACTGAGGGAGACTGATGGGAATGTTTCGGCATAGAAAAGTGGAATCTAGTAAAAGATTGTAGATAAGAGAACAGTTGTCCGTGTCTATGAAGGCTGGAAATTTCAACTGATAAACAACACATTGTGCATATTAAATGAAATAACCATATGCGTGATAAAAAAAAAAAGAATACAGAAAATTGTAGAGATGATGCAGAGACATAGATTGAGATGTGTGCGATTTCTTTTAGTAGAGGAGAGGTTAATCAAAAATAATTTGTTGACCATTAATCTGTTTACAAAGAGGTTCACTTCAATAGCAGTTTATTAGTTGATTCCATTAAAGGAAGAATGTGCGACTTCTTGATCCAGTAGATGTCGCCCTTGAGCACTAGCATGAAACCAAAACGAAATGCTGTTTGGCGACACCTCCGCCATACTGAATCCTCCGCTCTCCTCCAGCGACATGCCTCAAACCCCCCCTCCCCTTGTGTTTGAAAAAAAAAAGGAGTCCAGCAGACAAAAAAGTATTTGGCTTGAGCTGCAATTGACTGTAGCCTGCTTGCTGTGTTAGCGGGTTTAATGTTAGCACTCTTTAGTTAGCTCGTAGCATCACATTGCATGTCATTTCACATGGAATGACAAGTGATCCAAAAACATTTACGTGACAATCAAATAAGCAGTGAGTATGTTCTTCTTCTTTTCTCTAGTCCTTGACTAAAACTGCTTTTATACACAAGGGGAGGCGCTAGTCGTCGCGTCCATGTAAACATGGCTCCGACAACATGACAGCCAGAGGGACTCGCACTTCTTACTCATTGCAGGCAGTCATGACTTAGAGATATTTACATAGGACATACTTGATTTCTGCTATATTTATGTGTAAACTGTTGCACATTAAGAGGGCCATGATGGCTGAGAAAATGCAAAATAACACCTGTTGGTGTTGAAACTCTACAAATAATAGAAACTCGTTTTAGATGTCACCAATATCTTTACTCTCCGTAAGTATATTCATGTGGGTTAAGCAGCATTTCACAATAAAAGCACCCATGGCAGAGTCTATAAGCCAATGTTTCCCGACCTATTTTTGGCTCCCCACTTTGACTTAAAAAATCTGGAGAAAACCAGACATCCAAAACACAGCTTGTTGCACCCCTTGTATCTCTATGTAGACAATAATGCATGGTATAGTTTGAGGGTTCATACTACACTATCGCAGACATAGATGTATTCGTTGAATGGGACACAGTTGACAACATGTTGCTATCAAATCTCTGTTGTATTGCAAGTTTCACTGGTCCCAATGAGGACTAACTGTCTGTTAATGTTGAGTTTTTTGGGGAGCCTCTCATTTCTCCTTCATGCTAGATATGCTTTTGAATGAGTCTTTGTTCAGTTCTTTGTTTCACTGACTTCATTTCCTGGAACCAAATAGTCTACTGAGGGAGACTGATGGGAATGTTTTGGCATAGAAAAGTGGAATCTAGTAAAAGATTGTAGACAAGAGAACAGTTGTCCGTGTCTATGAAGGCTGGAAATTTCAACTGATAAACAACACATTGTGCATATTAAATGAAATAACCATATGTGTGATAAAAAAAAAAAAGAATACAGAAAACTGTAGAGATGATGCAGAGACATAGATTGAGATGTGTGAGATTTCTTTAGTAGAGGAGAGGTTTATCAAAAATAATTTGTTGACCATTAATCTGTTTACAAAGAGGTTCACTTCAATAGCAGTTTATTAGTTGATTCCATTAAAGGAAGAATGTGCGACTTCTTGATCCAGTAGATGTCGCCCTTGAGCACCAGCATGAAACCAAAACGGAATTCTGTTTGGCGACACCTCCGCCATACTCCAGCGAAACCCCCCTCCCCTCGCGTTTGCAAAAAACAGGACTCAAGCGCGAGTATTTCCGTTTGTGTTGTTCTAATGTTACTATTTTGATAGGCCTCATAGTGTGCCCAGCTGTGCGCAACATTAAAAGGGTTTTAACCACCTCCAGGGACAATGGGGGTCCCCAGTTGTTAGCACCGTTAGCATATGGGGTTGAAAAGCATGGGAACCCCTGCTCTATATGACCATAGCTAATAAGCCATTAACTAAGAGTTTGCCCTCACATTCCGCGTTACTGCTTATTGATTGTAAGTTGTTGAAGATGAATTATGATCTCAATATGCTTTTTTCACTTCTACATTATATGGTACATTACTAAGGAAAACTTTACTAAATTACTAAATTCAACTTCCTAACGTACAATCAATATTCAGTAATGAGTAGTATAATGAGGGTAAACTCTTACTTTATGGCATTCTAACTATAGACTATGGTCATGTAGAATAATGTATTGATTAGCATGCTAATAAGCATCTCGTGAATGGTGAATATATTGACTTTAATTTGAAGTGTTGCCCTTGTTTTTTATTATTTGACTAAATACGTTTTTTGGTCCGGTCATCTGGTGACAGCCATATGTAACTTAATCAAATCAGTCGACAGCTGATTGTCTTGATTGGTTCTACTGGAAGAAAAGTCATTACAAGTCTTACAAAAATATCAATTTGTAAGGAGTCACAGCAAAAAGTCAGAAATGTTATTAAAGGATTATCTTAAAGTTCAACATAAATGAGATAACCGACTCATTCTGGGACATATAGCTTCTTTCTTATTGTCTATGTCTGTCAGTATAAATGCTATGAATACTATCAATAAACAGAAAAAAATGACTACCATTTATTTGAATAATTTCCAAGTCAAACTTATAAATGTATACAAATACAAAGATTCTAAAAGAAAAAAAACATGACACATACTAACAATGATTAAAATCTGAAATATCATCATTCCTTGATAATGATTTTAAGTTAGCAATTTTAAGTGTGTAGAGCTCATCTGTGCTGAGCCTCCAAAGATCGGAGAGCCGAGAGGAAATGTTGGGATGTGGGGGCACTGTTCGGCGCAATAACAAAACCAGGGAGTGTTTGAGCAAAAGCCCTGATCACCACTGCACTACTACGTCAGTACCAGTAATACTACAAACACAAAAGATGTGAACTGTGGTTATAAACATGTTTTTGATCATATCATTTATTATATGTTAAGTACTTATAGATACATACATTTTGCATTATATTTTTTATTTTATTCCTTTTTCTTTTTTTTTTGCAAATGCCTTAAGAAGTCCATGAAGACACATTGAGACAACTTATCCTGCTCAGCAACCAGATGTTCAACATCACCAAGTTCAGATCAGCCAAGGGTTGAAGGTTGCTGACCTTGATGCCCTCAGTAATGCAACAAGTAAACCTCAGTTGTGATATCACTTTTAGCCCAATTTAGCAGATTTTAAGCAGTCAGAAAAGGAGGGAAAAGAGAGACGAGGAAGGATGGCTGAAGCAAGAAGCAAAGGAAAGCCTGTGTTGACATGGAGCAATACAAAAAAAAAAAGCATTATGGCCTATTTATTGAGACAAACACCCAACTAGACGTGATAAAAAAAAAATAAACACAGGTGCTGAAGAGGAAGGTGAAGAGGCCTTAGACGCAAGTTTAAATGTGACAACAATTAGAGGGATTTGCACAGCACAGTGTGGCAGTGAAACAGTTTAGAAGTCTGTTTCAGTGTTAAGTAGAGCTAAGATTAAGCAGAGAGGAATGACAGGGCCCCTGATGATATAGAGAGAAGTATAACTCACCCAGCAGCAGAGCAACTGCCAGCCCAGCATGAAGTAGATCCCCTGATCTCTTCCGACCAGAGACACTCGAACCGTCGCTGTCCACTGACGCCATGACACCAAGACTGTCTGTCTATGTTGTTATGTGTCTATGTGGATTTTTGTCAATCCCTACACCTCTGCCAGTCTGGTCAACCTGAGTCCAATCTAAGAAAAGGTGTGTGTGTGTGTGTGCGTGTGCGTGTGCGTGTGCGTGTGTGTGTTAGTGTGTTTGTCTTATGTGTCTCTGAAGCAAGGAGTAGCTGGTTCTGAAGTCCTGCTCTCAGTTCCTCCCTCTTCTCTCCTTCTTCTCTCCTTCTCCGCACTCTGTCCCAGAAATGAAAATGGGGGGGGGGGGGGCGGGACGCAAAAAAAGAGGAGTGTAAATCTCTTCGGGGTTCTCCCTCCCGATCACTTGTTCCCTGCGCTGCACTCTAGCAGCATGGGGAAGCAGAGGGAGAGACAAAGTGAAGAATGCAGCAGTTCAACCAAGAGTGCGGGCTCTCTGTCTCTCTCTCTCTCCCTCCCTTGCCTGTCCTCTGTCACGGTCTCTGACAGACTCGGCGGTGATTATCCAGCAAAGCAAAGAGTGAGGCAGAAGGCGAACAGAAGAGAGGCGAAGTCGTAGCGGCGCAGCAGATCAGTGACGGACAGATCCACTGCTCCAGCAGCAGTAGCAGCAGCAGCAGCCAGGGAAGCAGGCTGGACCAACAAACCCCAAAGGAGGACACATAGGCTGGAGATGGGGAGAGCAGGGCACTCGAGAGGCACGGAGGGATGCTGGAGCAGAGCCAGCAGCCAAGGCAGAAAAAAAAAAAGCAGAAAGCGCGTGTCTATCCAGTCGGCACAGGGAGGAATGAGCAATAGAGGTACTGCAGAGGTAGAGGTGAAGAGACTAAGAGAGAGAGAGAGAGCTACACAGAGAGGAGGAGGGAGGGAATAGAATGAAATGGGGGGGGGGAGGTGAGTGATAGCTGCTGCCACATGCACGCACACACACATATGCAGCCAGCATAACGGCTGAGTCAGCCTTACTCGAGAGGGTCTTTGAGCCGGTCTGGGTGCTTCACCCATACCACATACCCCAGACTTTACTGCATCCTTTGACTGTCTCCACTTTCATGTGTCTCCTATTTGATGCTTACATATCAATGCCAAGTGCTGTCCCTTTGGCAGGCGAAAGCATTGGCAAGATCCGATGTTATCCACCAGTTCTCCATCAAATGATTCATGCTTTATCTCTCTCTCTCTCTCTCTCTCTCTCTCTCTCCCTTGTCAGTTTTATGGCAGGACTACATGTTCGGAAGCCCTTGTTCCGAATTAAAGCACAAGGAAAATGTGTAGATCAACCATTCTTCCTTTTTAAGAAAGTGCTAAACCTTTTGGCATCACTGCACATGAGTCATTCTAAATTTACATTTTTAATTAGCATATGTTATTAAAAGAACCACCTATGCAGTAAACTCGCAAATCATGGAACAGTGCCTGTATTTCACATTTTCTTGCATCACAATTTGGACTCAAGAATGCAAAATGTATACAAAACATCTGACTGAATCCAAGTAGATTCAAGCCAAACCAAGCACTATGTACTGACGACATCTTTTGAACAGTTTGAGCCGGTGCTCACTGTGACCCCAAATGTCTGCTTAAGACCAGTGGACTTTTTCAGGGGCTTTTATACACATGTCATCCACCAAAATAAACTGCTCCTTATGTTTCATGCCTCACAAATTTGCCTGCAAAGCACAAATAATCAGTAACATTGATTCATGATGGCCCCTTTCACACATGCACCCTGGACAGGCACATTTCAGGAGAGCCTGCCCCTGAAATCTTCCTGAGTTTGGTCACAGAGTTAATGTCTACAACATATGCTATCCAAATGGTGAAATGAAACATGGGCGTCTGACAATGACACTTTTTGTGTGTAACTTGACATATACCTAGTATTAGCAAGTGAGTGGAAAAGCAGCTTTATTACATACATAAATATTGAACCGGTCACACAGCGGTTGCAGGATATAAAGTGTATCCCCCGCCCACTCATTTATGATTTTCCAGAAATGATAGAGCATATCAGCACATCATGACTTCTCGCAGACATTTTTTTTGGGGGGGGGGGGGCTGTATGAAGTCATGATTTAAAATGTGTCTCTTTACGTTCACAAGTGAAGCTCACCCTGATTATTTTGGGGAAACATTTGGAGTTTTGTGCATGTGTGAAAAGGCTACACATAAATAAATAAAAACTAGGAGCCACACAGGACACCACATAATCACAGCATACCTTTCATCAATCTTACCTGCAGCCTTCACACTTCTCAGTGAAGGATAGCACAAGTCCACATCTCGAATGTTCAGTTTGACCTCATTCACAAGATTCATGGCTTCCTCGGCCATCAAGTGACACGTCAATTCCAAGACATCAGAGCCCTATAGGGTCACATCCGAGGCCAATACCTCAATATTTACAAGTTAGACTCACAGTAACACGAGCAGGCGAGGGAATCTGTCTCTACCTCAGGCCTACATGCCTTCTGTTTCTCTGTTGCCCAACACTTGGTGCAGGGGGAATGTTAACTATCTGCAAGCTGACAAACCCCCATGTTTGTCCTCCCACTACCTACTGTACTGTCGAACATAACTGAACCCACCATCTTGGTCCTTCTACATTTTATACAAAATGAGTCATGCATCAGAGTACACTGGAAGTCACTTAGCACTCCCACTACACCGCCACTCTGTCAGGTATGTCTGGCTGCAGGCATAGAATTAGAAGATGCCAGAACTTGGTTTAAAGAATTATTATTTTTTTACCCATTTGCTGAAACAAACACTGACATGTTTTTATGCTTTCAAACACTCATGGCTAGCCTAAACACATTAGATATACATAATGTGAATACATATTTTGGGGCCTGACCAATTAGTCTGCCTGCAGATATATGACTGGTGAATGACATTGATTAATTCACCAGTCAAATATAATTTCATTCGAGTATCATTGTATTACACTAGCAGTACTCTTTCTGGCTGTCATCAGCAAGGTGAGCTTTATGGATTACAACAAGCATGATCACTGTCCAGAGTGTCAAGCCGTGATCCCAGTACATGCACTATCCAGTTTTGTTTGATAAATGCATTTGAGGGATCAACACAATAAATGTATATATCTCTATCTATCTCTACAGATCGAATGTAGATCTAAGAAAGATATTGGCCACTATATCGGATTAAACTGTAGTGTTGTAGACTGTAGAGATGCTAAGAACTAAGAAGCATCATCAGGGGTTGATGGAGAGTGAGATGCAGCAACCTACAAGTATTTGAGATAAAGACGTACATGTGATTTATAGAGTGAGGGTAAAACACTAACACCAGGGATACATGATGCACCCTTGTGTCTTTGCATATTCACACCATCCATAGACACATGGCATCACACGCGCACACACACACACACACACATACACACACCTGCCACTGGAGAGGGTGACCTTGGATGACGGGCATAGAGGGGTGGAGCAAAAGAGGACATTACACTGATGAGAAGAGAGGAGGATGTTAGGGATCAGGAGAGGAGAGAAACGATGGGTAGAGGATGGGAATGTGGGGGGACGAGAGGAGTGAGAGGGAGGAGAGATGGCAGGAGGCAAAGAGGGGAGTTGAGATGAGAGGCGGAGGGAGGGAGGCAGTGAGGGAGGGAGGGAGGGAGGGAGAGGAGAATCTGTTTCTGGGACAGCCAAAGCAGTGAAATGCTGCAGTGAAGTCACAGAGCTGGTCCGAACACAGCTACTGAAAGACTCTGAGCTCTCCATTCTCTCTCTCTATACCTCCATCAACCCCCCCACCACCACCACCCCCACCCCCCATCCTGATTAACCTTCTTGTCACCCCACACTCCGACCTGCTCTATCCCCCCCTCTCACTTTTCCTTTCTCTCTCCCTCCCTCTCTCTCTCTCCCTCTCTCTCTCTCTCTCTCTCTCTCTATCTTTGCACCAGCCGGTGAGTGAGCACATTTCAGAAATCGTCCTGAGTGGAGGAGTACAAGTTGGGTGGGCCTCCTCCTTACCACTCGTCTCCATCTCCCCCTTTCTTTTTTGTCTTCATCTGTACAGGTCAATCTGTTTTCTCCAACATGCGTTGTCCTTTCTACTATTTTTTTATTTCATTGGCTTTACATTCTCACGTCTCTAACTCTCCGTTCTTGTCTTTGTATTTACATTTTCATTTCATTTTTTTGGTTCTGTCCTGTCTCCGCGGTCCTGTGCTCCAGCTGTCTGTCCATCCGTCTGTCTGGGGGTAGACCATCAAAAGGTGAGTCCTCTCTAAAGTTAAAAGCAGGTCTGCCGTACATGCTGATTCTCAAACACAAACATGCACACATGCGTCTGCACTGAAGTTATAACAGGCTTCAGTGCTGATATGTAAGGAGACTAGTGTCGATAATACAGACAGCCTCCTGGTAGAGATTTGTGTTGGAAGTTTAAAGGATTGCAGTTTTGTTTGTGCCTTTGTAATTGTCGTTGTTTGGAGTTGGACAGTAGAAGGTAGTTTGAAACCGCTTGTGATTTGCGTGATCTTCGTAAAGATGTTGGCAAGACTTCGCATTGAGGCGGTTAAGTACAAAAACTTTATTGGCTGTGTGTCCATGCTGTGGAATGTCAACTAGAAGGTCTCTATCTATCTATCTATCTATCTATCTATCTATCTATCTATCTATCCATACATCCATCCATCTTCATACCGTTACAATAATCCGTATAGAGGCACATAGAATGGCTTGACATGCGGCTGTCATTGAAACTGTGTCTTTAAGTTTGGATGTGATTTAATGATAACAATTCATTAGTAATAAACATAGATATTTCTTCAATATAAAAGCGTATTTTAGGACTGATAGTATGCGGCTACATTTTTATTTTAACGCTGTGAAATTAAAACAATTTTCCAATTAACAAGACTGAAAATGTTCCACTCAAATGTTTCCTAGATCACTTTCAGACTGCAGCACTTCATGAAAAAATTAGACCCTGGGTTCACGCATATGAAGTACAAAGACAGGGCTGAAAATAAACGAATACATAAAACAAGCTGGATCAGATTTTTATTTTTTTTCAAAAGAACCTTCTTTAAGTATTAAAATCTGCCCTGGTCAATCAAATGCATGCAAGGGCCCAGCTAGTGGATTGCTATAATTTGCTTATTTTTATTCTCTACCTTGTGGTAGTTTCAATAGAAGATAAAATGATGACTTAAACTGCATTTCTTGATTTTTTCAGATCTGCCCTGTGCTGTTTAGGTGTGTCTCATAAGGCTTCAAACCAGCTCATGACTGTCTTTTGGTCAGGGTTTATAAGAGCTGTAAAGATATTCATGCTCTACATTTACAAAGTCACCTTTAGCTGATTCTCAGTGGAGCAGCTCCAGGTTAACCACTCTGGTGAGAAGACTGCAGCTTCAGGATTGACAAGTGATCCCTTACATGAATACCTGCCCTTGATAAAATCACATACACATGCTCAGGACCAGTACAACTCTGATAGTCTTTGATACTCTCAGTGTCTGCAGGAGCAGAAATATCACAATCACAACAATAATAAACAAATCCATGGGTTTTCATTGCAACCTTGCAACTTTTTTTTTGCAAATTTAACATTCACCCTAGTTTCCACATACACATCATACGTTATGTCAACTGTCTTGCTTCCTCTGTATTTAAATCATAAATCCCAGTAGGTCGGCTATATATGATAAAATACAATATTATCACAGTTGCAGCTGCTTCTTTGCAATATTAGTATGCTCAGGTAATTCAACTGTAAACAAATATACTGACGACATAACATGTTATGTTGCAACTTTTTAAAAAAGCTTTAATTTTAGGCTGCAATAATTAAAATACGGCCCCTAGAGAGACTGCTCCATGTAGGGGTTATGGTCAGGCACATGCTTGGAGGGTAGAGGGCTATAATAGTGCACGGCAGCATAGTCATTCAACACAAAGCAGGGTACCCTACAGCAAGAAGGGTTTGAATCCAACAGCCTGGTCTGGTTTCCTTTGGCATTTCTTTTTGTAGATTGCTTGTATTCCTGTGCACATCCCTTTCCTCTAGTTTTCAGTTTCACTGTTAAAAGATAACCAAAGACTGGGGATTGTAGCACATGGTTGGCTGTATGGGTTTAAGCCCTGTGAAAGACCGGCCCTTGAAACTAGGCATCCTTAACTCTCTGAGATTGACGCTGTCGTAAACAACATAAGGAATGTCGTCTTTACGTCATCAGCTCAAAAAACAGAATAGTACAATGTAGCAACTTACTGTGAAATCCACTCACTTCGTCTGCTCAGCAACTTTCCTGCGATCTGCAATACGTGTGTTTCTGTGAAATCCAGAGGCTTTTCTATCCTACTGAGAAGATCAGTGTATATTCACTGACTATCCGGATATAATCCTACCAAAAATGAAGGTTATCCATGATGATATATGTATACATTTTATTAACATAATGTCATTTCTTTTGGCCAACATGGATGCTGCCATCTTGTTTTGGTCTGTTCTTCTTGAATGGCGGCTTTCAACCATGACTTAAATAGGTGCATACTGTCAACTACATATGTATGTAGCATGAGCTATGTAAAAAATACTTTACTTAAATCAAATGTAAATTAATGAAAACAACAACAGTAAATAAATACATAAAAAAATGATAATAATAAATTAAAAATATATTATAACCAAAGTTAACATCTTACTCCTATTGTGTTTTCTTTAGTCCCGGCCCCTATTGTTGTTTTGGTCTGTTGACCAATCACATGCTGTATCTGCCATCAACTGACATGTTAGGGCCAATGAGAAGTCAGTGCAGCCTGAAACATACGTCACAACCTGCTCTTGGCACAGAAATAAAAAGATAGAACATAGAACTGTTTTTAATGGATTCATCCCATTCAGCTTATTCTAGTATCAATAGATCTTCACTCTTTATACAAAACAGCTAAAAATAATGTGTAGACTTTGAATTGAATACAAGTGTTTTATAAACTCCCTGAGGGTCGAACCTTGTTGTTTTACATGTCAACATATATCTGTGAAATTACATTTTGGCTTTTATTTTTATATTGTATTTATGGTGTAAAAACGATTTGGGACTTCATGTGACATCCTTGGAGGATAGATATTCTGATTCCCAAGGTTGTCCTGAAAAATAGATGTGCAGTATTACATGGTTGTGTATTACTCTGGTGAGATTATACATCTCTTTTTACAGAATGAGACCAGGCGTTAAAAATGAGTGGAAATGCCTTAGACTCCAGAAGGTTAAACAGAATAATCAGGTAAAGAGATACAATACGTGATCAAATGGATGGAAAAGAGAGAACGAAGAACTATGACATGTTCCTAAATCATCTTTATTCAAAATACATCATGTCATGACAGCTGCCTGTTCAAAGGCAGCACAGTGCAAGCATACGTTTGGTGTTTGCTAACATTTAATGTGAAAAAAGAGCAAATTCAGGGCAAACTCATATCCAGAGGTGAATGATGCACAAGTGCAACTCCGACGCTAGATTCAACTTCAATGTTTTTGTGTTTTATTGTTTCTCATTAAGAAACACACTCAATTTTAAATATCTTTATGTATGTAGCTTTATATGGCAAACCAAACCCCCTTTTAAAAAAATGAATGTACATTTTGTCTTTATAACATCATGTTATGGGTCAAGCACCTCAAACCCTGCAAATGAAACATGCATGTTCACTAATAGAACCAGAACCTGTGATGCATTGGCTGTCTCGACCAAATAACTTTTTAAAGTTTTGCCAACTAATTAATTCACCTTAAGACCCTGTTAATTGCTGCTCTCCAGTATAATTAAAGGTAGGGTTGGTCATTTCTCCTGATACACTTAGGGAAGAGTTTGGTTCAAATTGTCTTTAGGTCCTGATAGGAATTAATAACTCATGAGCTCTGAAAAAGGAATGAAGAAAATCCGTCATATGTATCAGTTGTAAGCCTGTAAAAACGTTGAACAATGTCTGCCACGAGGTACCAATTTGATGAACCAATTGTGTCTCCCTGTCTCCCTGCTCGTTTTCTACCCCATGCATGCACGAGCCCACACTCGAAGCATGAACTGAGCTCCGCATATGTACCAATGGCACTTGTGTAAGTAAGGGCCATGGCTTTTGAGGGAGCACAGAGGGGAGGGGGTGGGTGCAGACGGAGCACTGAGGGAATGCTACTTTCAAAACCTATCAACCCTGCCTTTAACTTCAAGCTTTCTTATAATCCCAGAGTAAGCACTATCAGTCTAAAGAATACTACTGCGATGTCACTGATGTGCTTTTGGTAGTTAAATACATTTACAATGATAGAGAAAAAGAATTCAAAAACCAGGATTGGCCAAGTTACCATATTTGGAAGCATTAAGCGCTTGACACATTACAAGTAAGACATGGATATGAGTTTGTGACACAGCTGGACTGTTATCAACATAGGTACAGACTAGACATTCAGTGGTTACCAACACTCACATGCTGAACCATGTGAAATGATATTTCAACAGTGATCAAATATCCAATCGTTATTTATTTTTATATTATACATTTAGGGTGATCTAAACAAGTGTTTCATAAAAATGCACCACGGATACATTTTCCCATTATATTATTTTACCCACCATGCCATGTTTCAATTACAACGACTCAACATTCCAATATACCATCATAACAATGTGAGCTTTATGTTTTTCCAAAGTTCTATTCAGTTCACTATGGTGAATGTTTTAATCTTTTTGTATAATATATATATATATATATATATATATATATATATATATATATATGTGTGTGTGTGTGTGTGTGTGTGTGTGTGTGTGTGAGAATCTGTTTTTTCAGGTGCATTACATCAAAGTTGTATTTAAATCTCTACAAAACACAGTTCAAGTTAGAGATCCAGTAAAAAAGACGACCCTAACAAAGTCTGTGCTGGAGATCCTTTTCCATGATATGAAATATTGACTTATTATTTCTCAGTATTTTGCAGGTGGCAGATAAAACTCTTCAAAGTGCAACCAAATACCCCTGGCAGTCTTTACATTTAAGATGTCAGCCATATTTCTAAGCATGTTTTAGAATAACATCTACTTATTATAATTTTGAGAAAATGGTGCAACCTGGTGACTTAATTGAGGGAAACCCCTGACACACCAAAAGCAAACCCAGACATGCTTTGACTGACTGACCCATGTTGCTGTTGTTTTATGGTAAAACAGACACATACCTCATTTTTGATATACTAAAGCATTGTTTCACATGCATTCATGGCACTATAATACATTGAACATGCTTCTTTTGACAAAGTCATAATGATGACATCTCATGGTTAGAGACAAACTAAAATAAATTCCCCTTCTGTCCGTCATGAATATAAGCATTTTTATTATAACTTTTTATTATTTAAATCAACTTCTATTCCTGACTGTCTGGGAGTCGACATATTTTTGGGCACCTTTGTTTAATTCCTACAATTCATATAAAGTTTAAAATCAAAGGTTGGCACCAGCCTGGGTTATGTGATTGTGGATGCAAAGTGTTTGTTACTTTAAATTGTCATTGACATGTGATTGACAACATTTTGTCTTGTAGTCAACCAAAATTGACTTGACTTCATCCCTTATCACATACTCCTAATCAACTCCTAAGATGTTTTATGTAGCCTAATGTGAGGGAGAGGGAAAGTAACTAGAATCGTGACTGATTTCCTTGCACAATATAGTATAATGGTGTACAGATATTGAATGGTCAAAGACTGACACTTGTTTTAATCCTACACATAACAGAGGCCTGTATTTATGCAGGAAAAGATGTCACTCCTCTCTGATAACCTAAAGCATTTAGCAGGGAGAATGCAGAGGTTTCAGCCATATGGATGGCTGGTATGACCAGTAAGTGGCAAAGTGCAGAAATTTTCAGATTTGGCAGTGCTGTTTTTATAAGTAAATATATAATCTGAGCTGCAAGTTAGACTAGGTGGTTAGAAAAACATTAAACTACAATTCCCTGCTTTTTTTTTTTGACCAGAGCACTTGTAAAATTTAGGCAACCTCACTTCACTGACCAGAAGAAATGCGGGCTTGTACTTTTCTTGAACACACACACACACACACACACACACACACACACACACACATACACAAACACAACCACACAAAAAAACATTTGTGTTCAGAAAAAAATTGATGAAGTAGTGAATGCAGATCAGACAAAGGCAGCTTTAAAACATGTTGACATGAATATGGAAAAACACTGATTTAAATGGTAAATTTAACGATAAGTACAATTAGCTGCTAACATTTCAGAGCCCTGACAATATGCATAATGGAATACTGTCTCAGCGACCATGTGTGGAATCTCCTCTTTCATTCATTTACCACTCCCAATATAAAAAGGGGTAGAGTTTATTGTACAGTTATTAATAATGTGGTAAACCACAAGAGCTAATGTCATGGGGCTGTACATTTTCATTTCTTCCCAAGCTCCACTCAATTTTACTTGATTGTTTGTAGAAAAGAGTGTACGATCCATGCTATCTATAATACAGCTTTGTGTTCTATAGTTTATTCACATTTTACCCACTTTTAATCTTGAATATTATAAAAAATAATGTTTTGGAGGGTTAATATAGTGAACTATGTAGTGCATGGGGCTGCTGTCATGGCTCTGTGAATAAAAAGACAATGTTTATATAATGATCTAAATCAGTGCTTTTCCCACCATGACAAGTCTTAAAAATAGGTATGAGGAATGTTTGAGAAAGTCGGCCACGAGTAGACAACACTGAGACAGATAGACATAAATGGCTTAGTCACAGACTATTACTTTTCCAGTGTTGGAAGGGGGATTACACAGGCGCTAACAAGTGCATGAATGTATATTAAGACATGGTGCCCAAACAGGCAGCTGAGAGACATGGATTTAAGGCAGAGTTGTTACATAAACCCACAATGTAAAAACAATAAACATTTGGTTTGATCTGTTGTTATCACTACCACTAAATGGACAAGCTTTGAAAGAGTCAACTACATCTTCCAATAGGCCTCATGATGCAATCAACCGTAATTATTAAAAGACTGAATGTGAAAGTCTGAAGTTGCCAGACCTTCATCATAGTGATTAACGGTAAATACGTTTTAGTGGTGATGTAGTGAAACTGTTGCCATTCAATTAGGTTTAAACACACTTTGACAATTAGACTGCTGGATAATCACTAAACATTTTCAGAGTGAGATTTTCCGCAGCAGCGCCGTAGCTCAGGAAGAAGCTCCGCCATTAGCACGTCTTTGTACATTCATATTGATTCCACAACAGCGTAATATTGGTGTCCTGGTGAATTTAATGGCGTTACAGCTTTGTAGAAGCAAGATTTGTAGAGAGAGTGGGAGCTCCATATACACACTTGCCTTTCCGTCATGTTATCGTTAACGTGACGCCATATTGTTTTCTATTGACTATTTGTAACTGACCCTTTTTTGCTAGCCAAACGCTGTTAACCAACACGCTGGACACACTGTTTCCTTTATGCTTCTAACACTCTTTTAGACAGATCCTGGCAGAAAGCTATGTGATATTTTTTTACAGATATTTTCCTTTTTTTTTTGAAGACCCTGAAAGCAGAAATTACATTTTTAAAAGGATATCAGTTACTTGACAGGTTTGGTTGTAATTGGGAACCCTGTTTCTTGTTGTCTACCACCACAAATCTATTCTTCCAATCACAACTGACCAAAGCCATTTAAACAAAATCCCAAAGTTTGATTGTAGTAATAGCTGGAAAGTGGATGAATCGGCACAATAAACCATCATAAAACTGATACCAACACATCCTCTCCTGAAATGTTAAAATATTGTAGCTTTAAACTAAACTTTAGTATGAATCTCTGCCTCTTAAACCATGGTAAACTTTACAAACAATTAATTAATGATATATCAAACTTCCGCTGAGAATTAGATACTGCAATATGTTTTTTTGACCATACTCAAACTATACACTCCTATTCATTTTAGGTCACACTACCCAGCCCTAGTTTGTTGTGCAATTTGCTACGATCATGGCATTCTCATAATAAGAAGGGATTCTAATTGTTTTAAATTGACTTGCAGCTATGAATGAAATAATGTGTTTGAAGATACCGTTGCAGAAAACGTTTTCCTGGCGTATTTCAAGCAGAAAGACCCACCTCACACAGACATATAGAAATACCCTCACACACATAGAAACATTCAGTACACACTTACTCACACACATACACACACACACACACACACACGCACACACACACACACACACACACACACACACACACACACACACGCAGAATGAATGGACGTCAGTGCATGATGATTCAAGCTGTGGTTACTACAGATCTTCAGGAAGGGGGGTGCACATGTCTGAAAGAAAATATAAGAAAAAGAGAGAAATAATATTTGTACTATAACTTGTTTTATGTTAAGTTGTCCCAGTCATTAATGTCCTCGAGGGAAGCCATTAGATAAAGAACTGCTTGTGTTGCTATACTTGTGTTGATTTCAAATAAACTGTGTTCACAGAAGCGTCATTATCATTTCTCCAAATCAATTAAAACTGTATGAGTGACAACAGCACTGGTTAAATCAAACACATATTTACCTGGTGAGGTGCTACGAATGAGCGCTCCACAGGCTGACCCAGCTATGGTTGTCTATAAAGAAATAATACAAGAGGTGTAAAATAAACACAACAGTAGGTTAGGTTTCAGTCAACAAGCAGGGGTTTGAGTTTAGTAAGTACTTAAGCCATGGATGGATAGCTTCATTTCTAAACTATGTTTAATTTGGGGTGGAGTACATTTTTAATAGAGTCTGCCCAGGCCTTAAGTAGATCAAATGTATCATCTAAACCTGCATTTCAATTTTAATTCAGTCTTGGACACTTATTGAGTAGCATTGTGAGATGTGCAGCTTTAAAACATCATAATGTATCTTATACTGGCGTCAGTAAAAGCCCTCATTTCAGCCTCCGTCTGAAACAGTGAATTTCAGCTGCCTGTCTCTTCAATGGTGCGTTCCATTTACCTTGGAACTGGGATCTCCAAGCTCGGAATGATGTCACAACTGAGTTAATCGCGTTCAAGTTGCAAGTTGAACAAGTGAGCGACCACGTGTCCTTGAAAGAGTTGCCAGGGTTGGGCATGTCCTACAACTCCTTAACATGCATTGCTCTAAAACGTCGACAGAAACTGACTTCAGGTTCTGGGCTCACAAATTTCACGATTCTCACCAAAGTTCTTGTAACATCTCGTTCAGAACACCAGAAAACCACGTCCGGGGATTACGTCAACAACTGTGTGTCTTGTGTTTAAAAAAATCTTCGACAAGGTTAAGTGCGAACATCCAACATTGTTAAATGATATGTATGTATTCAAATATGAATCCGCATCATAGATCTCCTTTTAGCATCTCTAGCTTAAATTTGTCAGAATACAAATGTGATTGTCTATCCGTATGTTTAGGTCTTAGGATATGGTAAATCCTTATGATGGTGATTGGTTGGTCTGGCCTTTAAGATGTAGTTTTTGAGGACCAGTTTTGTGTTTATAAATGTGTTCCTAATTAACTTATTAGCACACCTTCTGGTGCCTTCTGGTATATGACTCTTAATTAAGATAATTCTATTGGTGGTATGCAGCTTATTATTGTTGGTATGTTGCTGCTGTTCTACTGGCTCATGCCACTTTTAATTCCACAACACTCTTTCTGCTGGAAAACAAATCAATTTATTCTTGCTTGATTTGATATGTTTTTTTTTTTTCTTTGATTATTTATTTGGGAATCTCAGTGGGGCAAAAGTGAGCAAAAGTGAAACTAATGCATTTAAGGACTGAAGCAGTGGCCATCTTTTGTATATATCATGTACACAGTGATGACATCTCATATTTACCTGTAGAATATTCCGGGGACAAAAACTGTATACACTTGGGGAGTGTTATTTGCTGGTACTAAAATGACCTTTTTAAGTTGCATTATGCCAGTAGAACACATGAGGGAAACTGCCATAATGAATTGGCTTGTTCCATTGAAACATGAGTGACACACCATTTCAGCGCCAGTGGCAGGTCCTGCTTGAGGAAGGGGGGTGATACGGTTAGATTTCTTACTTGGTTCCCTCCTCTGCAACACCTTCAGCCTCCAGCTTTCCTTCTTCTTCCATCTTCTCCTCTGAAATCAGTTCTTGTTTCTGGTGACGACGGAGGCATTTCACTACCACCATGGAAAGGATCAGGAGAGCTAATGCTCCACCCACTGAAGCCCCTATTGCAACCGCAATGGTTGAATCTCTTGGAGGAGGAACTATAAGGAGGGGAGAGGAGAGGGTTAAATAGTCTGTAGACAAAAAGATGGAGACAAATGCACTGCTGGCTAAAAGCTCTACCAGGCTGATTAAACAGAGTGGAAAGAAGGAAAGTGCTGCTGAGTTAGCCTCATAGGGGAGTGTGTGTGCGTGCGAGCGCATGAAAAAGATGCCTGGGACTAAGTTCAGGCTCTTGTTGGTCATTAATAAGTAAAACGCTGAGTCATCACCAGTAGGCGCTCACGCTCAAGGAAACTCACACACAGACAAACAGTATGTTATAATTGATTGTGTAACATTGATCCTTAAAGCCGGCTGTTAAAGAACATCTATTGCACTGCAGAAAACAATGAAATTACAATCACTTCTTTGGGACCACATTCTAAGAAAGAAGGAAAAAATCATCAACTGATTCTGGATCATGCTCATATCACTGTTTCAAACTAATATTGATTTCAAAATACCCATTGTGTCCATGTTTAGCTTGCATCAGCATGTGCACATTTAAGCGATTGTAAACAGCTGATTGTGCAAAGCCACAAATGGTCGGTTGTAGCCAAATATTGGCACATTATAAAAATGACTTACAATCAACAGCAGTGGCTAGATAAAAGCGTCACTTACTCTGCCGACAGACATTATGGTATTTAATTTTCATGAAATTATATTTTTCCCATGGGTACACTAAAAATACACTGAAACAGGAAATAACAGAATGAATAGTTCTTGCAGACTGTTTCACAGTCAATTTTAGCCCAATATTGACACACATGATGCTTTATGTAGTAGAACTCACCATTAAAAATCCACATCCAAGTTTAGTTTATGTTAACATGAGGGTAAACGTAGTCGGGCAATGTATGTTTAAAGCAAGGGTTTAGGGTTTATAGATACTTGGGGCATGATCCACAAATGTATTGTGCTGCTTATTCAGACACTAAACCTTTTCGAATGAGATAGTTTAAAAGATAGTTTGTAATCCACAGCACACATGCAAAGGTTGAAATGCCCGCAAACTACACTGCCAAGCAGACAGTGCCCTTGGTAAATTAGGGAAAATAAGATCATTCGGTGCAAAATGTCCCCCTTCCTTAGTTCAAATAAGCCTTTTTGAAAATACCAGCGCTAATTCCCACAAGCCGTTACAGTGGTGCTATTTAACATCTGTGAGACCTAGTGGCGTAATTTCTGCTTCTCTCCCTTTTCTCTCTCTCCGCTGACTAAAATATACGCAAAAGGACAGGACATTGCATTTAGCTGAGGTAACTGTGGATCAGTATTTGTTCGAGATGTGACTTGCAAACTGTCCAGTGATCAGGAAAACAATTCCGCCTCTCTATGACTTTAAAATAAATGATCTGTTAAAGTCTCTAAATATTACTGTGGTATTAATATTATTAATATAACCATATAATCATCAACTCAACACTTCATCCACAGAGGTTTGGAGCCGTTGCACATTTGTTTTTTTGGGTTATTTTTTCAAGTTTCCCTTGCTTGCTCCTTTCAGAGAGGAATCTTTGTTGTAAACAGTGGAAGTCATTTTAAATTGTTCAAGTCTGGCATGAAAATAAACCCTGAAAAGGTTTCCCCTCCCCTCCTAGCTCATCGTCTTTATGTGGACAAAACAGCCTCATCAGCAGCTCAGCACAGAGAAAAGGTGCAGACCGCTTTTCTTCACATTACGCTGCAAAAAAAAAGAGCAAACTGCGCAGAGCAGGACGCTTTGTGACCATGTAAGGGCAGTCATATAATAAGTGCAAATCCTTTTGTGGAAAGGATGCTTCAACAAGACAGAATCTGGGTGCAATTTCTGCACAATTAATTGTGCTATTAGCAGGAGCAATCCATTTTTAGTGGATCTGGCCCTTAGTGTTTTGTATTTTCAGACAGTAGGGTAAGTTACTTACGTTCCGTGACAACCTTAAGCTCTATGACACCAAGTCCTTGGATGCGGTCTGGAGGGTTTCGCACATAGCATTTGTAAAACCCCTCATCCTCTTTCTGAACATCTGAAAGGGTGATTGACAGGTCGTTCTTCTCCAGGATTCCAACAAACGAGACCCGATCTCCAAAGCGGTCTGAGCGCAGAACCATTCCTTTTTTCCTAAAGTATGTCATAAACTATGGATGAAGAGAGAGAAAGAATGAGTGAGAGTTCATAAGGACTGAGATTTTAAAATGTGGGCAAGGCACGCTGGTTGTTTAGAATAAAGACGAGACGTTTTACCATGTCTTCTGTATCATTAACTGATTCTTGGTAGGTCCAGTTCATGGCAAACTTGGTAGCATCCATCTTGTAGCAGGATGTAAATGTGCAGGGGATTTTGACAGTTGTTCCATTGAGAGCATTTATTGCATTGGGCATCAACACATCCATGCATGAACAACCTGGAAATGAAAATAACACAATTGTTAATAGTGTTCTACCAACAATAATGAGATATCTAGGCTTTAAGGAGGGAAGCAGATCTGACTCTTGTTAAGTTTCAATGGATTTATAACAAACTGAAAAAGCAACACAGTAGATTGTGTATTTAAATATGAAGGAAAAAAACTAAAAGGAATGTAAATGACAATAATCAAAATAACATTACTCATACACATTTTGGAATTTTGAGCATGCATAACTTAAATGTTATCTCACACCTCTGTAATGATTGTTAATTCTGAAGGATTGGACATTTCAGGGCTCCATGTTAAACCAAACATACTTCAACTCAGACAGCATTTTCTGAACAGCTGAAAAATGCAATACATCAGCTGTTTTAGTCAGCCAGTTTGTAGTGAGGATGGGGGTGTCCATGTTACTGCTGACTCGTCTTCCGCACTTTGTCTGGAGAGCACTTTCGTCTTTCAGGCTGACAGTCATTTGATGTGATTTTTTTTTTATCCCAGAGAATACATTTAAAGTGAGCTAAACCCATAAAATGATTGTAGATCAACCTTTAACAGTTCCAGACATGTCTGTGTAAAACATAGATGGCACACAGGAAGTGGTGGCCTCTACTGTACTACATGTATTTCTTGTCCTAGATCTGTCTGTAGTGTATTAGTACATTGAATTTCCAAGCACCTCCTAGGTCGAGACATTGAAAGGCAAGTTCTAGTCATGTTCACAAAAACTTGATTTGATTTGGAGTGGTACACACTATGCCATTGCTGCTGTACAGTAGATGGTGGCATCCACCTCGATCAAGAATTTCAGATTTAAAATCCTCCAATGGGATTTCAAAATGTAGCATGTAAGCTTATACTATACAGCTTTCAATGGAGTTGCGCCATTTACATTGAAAGTGGTTACCCTAGCCTTGAAGCCAGACAAAATTTCTTTACAATCTTGGCCATGGTCTGGCTCTTATAATACTTAACTGTCAAACCCACATCTTTGAAATGGTATGAATTATAAAATGTAGAAATCTAGGGGTAGTAGAAGCCACCATATTCTCTTTTTAACAATCCCTCATTGTAGGCAACCTAGACATTTACTTGTAGTTGAGGGTAAATTAGTTTTGTGATACATTGTAATTGTTTAATTTTCCTATTGATCGTGAATAACAGTGGATTATAAGTAATAAATAAAAAAACCTAAAGACTAAAGGTAGGCATATGTCATTTTTCACTGGTATAAAAGTTGTATTAAACCTGGGATGGGTATTTCTTTTTACTTTGATCTGGCACTAACAAAAAGCAAGTGGGTACCTCTGGTGTTAAAAAATGAAGCTAATGCGGAAGTGCAAATAACTGCAGTTCACAGAGTGTCCACTTGAGGCTGGCTGCAAAAGCAAAAGTCACATACAACCTAATGCAAAAAGGACAATTTCTATAGAAGAAATGCACATGTTCACTGGTACAAAAAACTATTTGGTTTGAAAAGCTAATTTCTGTTTGGGGGAAAATGGGGGGGGGGGGGTATTAACCATTTTTATTTGATGGCGACTGCCATCTATGGGCTTCAAAGCCGGCTTCAGAAACCCATGGGTGATGTCACTGAGACTACGTCTACATTTTATACAGTCTATTTACTTTAAGACATGTAGCCTATGTATTGTGGCCATCTGATTTTCAAAAGTATTGCTTGATTAGAGGAGTATGTTTATTTAGCTGTGTCAAGTTCAGTCAGAGTAATTGAGACCCTGCTGTTAAAAATAGGACGAATGTCAGGATAGCAAATTATCACATTGTTGTGCCTTGACAGACCAAAAGCCTCCTTTTAAGATATAATGTTATGTTAAAATATCATTAGTTATTTCAAGTTTCCTAACAGTACGACTCTGCACTCCCCAGACAGAATCTGTGCCTCTCTCTCTCTCTCTCTCTCTCTCTGTATGTGTGTGTGTGTGTTTGTGTGACGGGACTCTGCACCATTCTCGTCCTCCGCAGTCGGGTGTTTCTGGCTCCCTTACCACTGCTGCTGCACCACTCTACAGGCCTGCCTCTCTGCACCACATACATATTGTACTAACACACACACACACACACACACCCCCACACACTCGCCCATGCACTTTTAACATCTCCTGCCATCACCCGTATGTATAATTTACACACATAAGCACACCCAATTATCCACACTGCACACAGTTCACCCCAGTCAGGTGGCTTGTGATGCAGAGTCCTGCTTTCTCACAAATAATGCACACACAAGCAGACGCAAAGCCCCTGCAAAGTGTGCATTGTCAGCAGTGAGCTAAGCATGCTAGCTGTGCTAAGTCAATGTCATCCCTGCATACAGACCAATGTGTAGGCACAGCTGACAGAGAGAAATCCAAGCAGACACCGTCACACAACTCACTCACACATGTAAGCACTGTATACACATATCTAACTTAGCTATTGTAACCCATACACACATATACTGTGTGAGACACAGTTGGACACATGCCCCTGCTGACTCAGCAGTCCTGTGGATAGTGGGAAAAGAGAGGCAGATGCAGAATTGCTCACAAATGAAATACTGCAGTGAAGCCACCTCACGCAACTCCTCCCTCTCTTTGCCCCTCCCTTTTTTTTTTCCTCTCCCATCTCCGTTCACCTCTCTTGCCTCCTCTCACGCCTTTTTTCCCCCCCCAGAATCCCAATTCTCTCCGACCCCCTCTTCTAGCCTTAAAATTACACTTCTTCTTTTTCTCCACATCCTCACATCCCCAAATTCCAACGATTGCTGTCTCACTCCCCTTCTCCCTCCCTTCCATTGATGCCGTTACCTTCACAAGGTCACAGCGGAAAACTAGGTAAGTCATAGGTAGGTCTGTTACATCATCACTCCTGTGCCCTCCCTATCCCTCTCATCCAACTCTACATTACGTGACCACCTTCCCATAAGGTTTTCAACACAAAGTCCTATACCAGAAAGATGATATATCTAAATGTAATTGAAACAACTGAGCTTCCCCTGCCTGATCAGAAAGGAGTGAAAGAAAGCTCGTACAGGCAAAGAGCTGGTACAGCCGTTAGTTACGTGTGTGAGGAATGAAACTCTATTTTCACTTAATCCATATTGAAAACCGCCGAAGTGTCTCAATTTGTATTGTAAAAAAGATTAAAGCAATAGATAACTTTGAGTCAGAGAGGGATTACAATAAACCAAGTAACATTGTCAATCAGGGGCATTTTTCCATTCTGATTGTACAATATGTGGCTGAAAACCATTTGGATGTGAACCACTGAAGACACAACATGACAAATCTCCCTCATGAAGGTCGCTTCTAAAAGTGATTTAAAGCTGCTTTAAGGTCACACTCTAATGCCTGCATCTCAGTATTTAGAGGATATACCAAAAAAAAAACTATTTTTCTAGACTAGACCTGATTTGATGTAGTAATTAGCAGTATTACCACATACTTGTTTTGGTGTCGAGTTTAATTCTGACTACATTAAGGGAATTCCGTGAGAGGAGTTACTCCTGAGTGGTTTAATGGAGTTTAAAACCAGCGCCCCTTCTTGTTTTGAGTGTGTCTGTCTACATGTGTGTGTTCTCAAACTGGGACCCTCCATGAACAATTTTCAAGGAGCCATTAATTCATACATGGATAATCAGCATAAAATATTATCATTCAAATAATCAGACAAAAGGTTGTGCTTTTTTTCTTCTTCTTCTTCACCTAGCTCACTGTAAGGTCTCGACACTGCTCTCAAACTGGTCCCAATCGTGAATTCAGTAGGTGTCCCGCAGGGTTACATTTGGCTTAATGATGATGCATCATGAGGAGTTAGTCAGTCACATTACATTTGATCGTTTCTGGTGTAAAAACATGCTCACATTCCAAGCTACTCTCACTGGGGGCACACATTGTTATTTAATAGCTTTCATTTCTGCTGCTGTCTGGAATCTGAATAATTGATTTTGTGTGAGAACTGAGAAGTGTTACTATTTAAAAGTTGCAGTCGACAATTTAGTGTTCTGATGATTTGACACTAATTTTGTGGGCTAGTCAGAAAACGGTTGCAGCAGGCGGTCTGTCTCGCTAAGCCAGAAAAAAAAGCCTTTTTTTCTTGTCAGATGTTACCATTGGTAAAGTGTTTGTCTCTTGACGGTTTATGATCACAACACAACTTGTAAAGGCAAAACACTTTTTATGGATGATGTGTTGACCTCAGCATTCTGCCTCTTAATTCTTAAGCCCTTGTCTTGTTGAGTGGTGATTCAGTTGTGTTCTTGCACTGCTTTGGCTTAGCTCTAGTGCCCCCTTCTTTTGACAAAGCAACATTGCATCCTGCCCACTGCAGCATTCTGTGCAGCTGCCCATACATTACAGCTCACAACAACAATATGACACCCATCAGTAATGTTTAGAGCAGTAGCAGGGAGTCATGTGTGCTGGAAAAGCTTTGGTATGACTATGTCATAACTGGATTCCTAACAGCCTTGAAACCCTATAAAGAAATACTGACACAGTACTGTGTCAGCCTGCAGCATCTTGTGTGTTAGGTTACTGTCATATAAGCAATATGTGAACACTGAATGTAAACAAAGCAAATAATCATGTCAGCAGACAGAGATGCTTTATACAGGTGAATTGGCATTATTTCCCTGTTCTGCATAGATAGACTAACAGCATATGTCCCTGCTTGTTTTATTGTCACTATATAAACCATACAACATGGAAAATATTGACTTGATGAGTGAGACTTGAAAGGTACTTTCAGTCCCTCCACGTTCTGGATTATTTACAGTTGTGCTTCTTTTTTTGCAGAGCATCAAAGTTTGATCGCTTTAACTTTGAGTATTGGTAGCTTTCAAAAAAAGAAATCACAGCCTTTATGTTAAATCCACACAGAAACATATGAGTAGTGAGATTGGCAAACTGAATCTAGTTGTGGATAGTGGTCATTTTAGTTCTGTATCAGCATGTTTAGTGTTAGTATCAGTGATTAAGCAACTGATGGGATGCATCTTTAAAACAGTTGAGCTTATTGTTTTAGTTAAGTCAAGTTCAAGTTAACTGTTTGTTGCAGTTTGACTTGAGCTTAAAGCATCTAGACAATGATCTGAAGAGAGATACTGGGTCCATGTTACTGTATGTTAATGCACTCGTACACTTGACTGACAATGTCATGCTGCAGAATCATCTTATAGACGAATAAGTGTTGTTTATTTGAAGGTATTAAGTTTATAATGTCAATTGTGTAACATCCACTTTTTCTTGGATTGTAATTCAAATCAAAATTTTCAAAATGACAGTTTGTATGAGTTCAGAAAAAACAGTTTTCCACCTTGTGACAATTATTTTTAATAACTCAAGAAAAGGTTTATTTAGCTTTGGAAATGAGAAAATATTCTAAGCCCAGATGGGATTTTATATCATCAGAGTTCATCAGAATTGTTTAGATAAAATGATCCAATCAGACAAGGTATGGTTTATCACTGGCAGAAAAATGGTACAATCTGACAAATGTGGTGTCGTAGATAGAACAATAATTTATATTTGAAGAAGTGGATAGACTTGTAAAAATGTAAAACAAAATAATGAAATACTTAAATAAAGAACAATCAACTTTCTATTTAAGTTTATTTACTAACACAAATGCCTTGCTGTTTAATGATGCATCAGTAGTCGTTAATGCCTCTTAAGGATTGCATGCCATTTAATATGCAGTTGAAGCATTTTCTTTAAGGGTGTTGCTGCCCTCTAGTGCCTGTTTTCAGTAAGTGTAACAGTAGGGAGTAAAGTTAAATTATTTATTGGTGGGAAACATTCCTTCCAGGATTCTGCAGCGTTGTATAAGCATTCTGACAAACCAGTTGTCAGGCAAGAGACGTCTGTAAAGCAGGAAGTGGCAAATAACAGTCCCAGTTGATGGCAATCTCTGTTTTCCCTTTTGTGAGGTATCTTAATGTGAAAGACCATTTTAAAATACAGCTCATGTACATTTCTATAAATATTTGATTTAATAAGGATAAGCTACAAATATCAAAAACAGAGACAGAGATGCGGAGATGTTCCCTTTAGCAGCAACAGTATCTGAGAAGCTCCTCTATGCAACAAGTTCACAGAAACAGTCAACCTTTGGTGGGAGAGCCCCATAAAAGCTTTAAACCGGTGAACTGCAGTTTGATGATCAGTCTTTTTTTATTGGCTCTCAGTGTTTGTATGTTGATGTAAGCTGTTGGCTTTAAAATAATTTGAAAACAATACCTTAAGTTCCTTCTACTTCACAGAGGATTTCATTGTATGCCATTGGGTAGAGGATCTCATTTAAGTTGCAGTCATTGTTGTTCGTTGTTCCATATTTTGCTTTGATAAGAAATTGATTTAATATAGGCAATCAGCAGGTAAAGAGCAGGTAGGCTACCGTTATGTTATGTAATGCAGGATGGCTTTTGTTTGTTGTCTGCTGGAAACACCTTCTGTTCAGTTGCCGGCTTTCAGCTGAAGCATTGATGCTCTGCTTTGAACAGATGTGGGTCACGCCTACTGGAGGCCCTTTTTTGATCTGGCAGCTACCTTTTTTTTTTCTTCGAGAATAATCATGAACCAGTCTGGGTTTGATAGCATACGTTTGCATTCGCTCCCTGCTGCATACAATCCTAAACACAAATACAACAGTTGTTTTGATATGGTATGTCGCCTTTTGAATACCAGGCCTATGAATATAACCAGCACATTGTTAGCACCTGATCCTAGGCCTATATTTTGATCTATCAGTCACAGCAACCACAACACTGACTCACAGACCCCCTGTAATGTACACTATGATTCTGCAAGAAGACCTAGCCCATATTTATTTTTATGCAGTGCATCATAATCCTGTTTAAAGGCTGTGATACACTGGAGCAATGCTGTGGCTGTCAACAGAAATAACGTGGAGACTAAAGGGGGACTGCATCCTCTTATCACGATTTTGTAAAGCCTCGAGCTATTGTGGAAAGTCCAAACAATCTGTTATTCTCTTTCTCCACGGTTTTTGTCAGCAGGGGAAAAGCTGTAGCCTAGTAACAATTATTGTGGGTAGGCTATCTCATCTCTCTCTCTCTCTCTCTGTGTCTCTCTCTATCACACTCACAAACACAACAAAGAGAGAAATGGAGAAGAATGTGGCTATTTACGGTCGCCATAATCGAACCGTTGTTTGTCGTATCAATGTGCATTGATCGGTTTGGTTGTTTTGTGTCTTACCGGAGAGCGAGAGCAGCAGCACGAGCAGCGCCGCGCTCACTGACAGCTGAACGCCACCGCTCATCTTCAGCGCGCGTGAACACATCTTCTCTTCTTCTTCTTTTCAATGAAAAAAACGTCCAACCTCGAAAAATACCAAATTTAGAAAGACAGAGCAAGCATGTAGCGGCGGGGTTCGTTAAAATGCTAAAAAAAACAGTATTTTTTTTGTTTTGTTTTAGAGGCAGGACATGGCTGGCAGTGTCTGTAGCCGTATGATGGTTGATCTCATGGATGTCGGTTTGTTTGCGGTGGAGGAAGGCGGGCGTTACTAGTCGTAAGCTAATAGCTACAATTTGATAGAGGAGGGATGTGCAGTGGATTTTACAGGGACAGGGGCTCAAAATTCACAAAATGTATTTAAAAAATAAATAAAATAAATGTATCCCCGGAATGACAACTTTTGTTGTTGTATGAAAATACATAAAACACACTCATGATGGAGGGGTAGATCATACATTGATCCTTGACCGTTAAGTAGGCTGTTTATTAATTTATTTTACAGGGAGATTGCATATTAATAAGCATTCCTTTTCATCCCTTGTCCCCGGCCAGAATTTATAAAAGGCTCCCTAAAAGAAAACCAATTCTAACATTGCTAAAAGCTATAAATAGAAATATCATGACAGTAATGAAGGCAGACAGGTGAGTAGCCACAGGTGAAAATACATAAACCATGCAGGACACTGATAAAGCAGCCTGTGGTTAATATTCAAAATATATACAACATGCAATACAGAATGTGGAGCAGTTTTGAGCACACATAACAATGCACAAAATTAAACAGGTATTAATAAAAGCACGTATCCAATAACCTACTAAAGTAAATGTTACGTGTACACAACAGGACAATCTGTAACACTATTATACAATAAACATGTACAAATCACACGAGGTCACATATAAAACATTGAGTGAGCTATACCTGAAGCTTATCACAATAGACAACTAAAGCATGTAGGCCGCATTAATTAAAAACACAGGACACATTCACCAACAACCAGACCCAAGGTGTCAGCAGCGGGCGGAACAGGTTCAGTGCTGACAGATGTGGGTATTAATTTGCCAGTGTTTCAGATGTGAACTAAATGACTGGTCTGTGTTGCGCTTTCTGATAAATGTTGGGATGTTGTTCCATTCATGTGAAATTGTAACACAGTCGCCTTTGGGGCACCCCTCGTGAAGTGATGTGTACATGAAAGGAATTTGAGAAATGAGAAATTTCTGGAGTTAAGAATATGTAGAAATGGCATGCTAAGCTTCCCCTTTGTACTGCAAATCATCTCCAATAAAGGTGGAAACCTTCTCCCAGAAGACAGGTGAGGTGCCCACATTTTTGTGAAATGCTCATGTGCACAGATATCTGGAGGCCCAAGTCTGGTGATAGTTTTGCCTGGATATCAGTCTACTACTATGTCACACTGCTTTCATAGAAAAAGAAATCCCATCTAAACTGAACTGCAATCATTTGAAGCAATTTGTCAGCCAGTATTCTTTTGATCAAAAAGTATTGAATATATTGAGTGATGTGATCAAGATGGCGGAGTAGTCAACCTATGCTCCTCTCCCTCTCTTTATTTGAAGCAAAATTGTACACTTTCTGTCTATGAGATCCTGATTTAACTTCACCATCTGTAAGCTTGATAGCTGCTCCCATTGCAAAGTCTCGATCACGCTCTAACAAAAAAGATACAACCGAGCCCTCTCCCAATGGCCTTGCTGGAAGCCACTCTAAAGATACATGTCAGTCTAGCTGAAAAAAACTCCAATGAAAGATTCGATCGCTTGGAGAATCAGCTGGGAACCATGCAGGCTACCTTGACAAAACCTGCTGAGGAAATCAACACACAACGCACAATTAGCCACATAAATAATAAAAAATTGATCACAAAAAAAAAAATATATATATTGAACAAAAATTTATCAATAAACTTTTAGCTCTTCAGAGACATGAAAGATCAGTGCCAAAGAGCATCGAAGCTCTCATGTTTATGTAGCCAACCTATGCCTGTTAATCAAGATCACATCTCATCATGTGTCAGTTGGGACCATACAAAAATCCTATCTCGCAATTTAAAACTTATACCTGTATGCAGCAAAACCAGTGCAAACCAGTAAGCATCAGGAGAATGAGTAGGCTATGGACTCAAAGGAGGCTCTACTGAGAGAAACCAGGCAGCCGTGCAGGCAAACAAAATAATAAGAACACCTCAACCTCCCTTCTAGAATCCCTTTCTTCATCCATTCTTCTGGGGTAGGGGGTAGAAGGAGAGGATACTGGGAAATAACAGAGGTAAACACTTACTGGGGGAGTCACACTGTTAGCCTATACTAGTTTTCTGCTTGTTCCTAACTAGGGGGATAGACACAGGCTGCCAGCACACCCGAGTGATGTACAATTGCAGTGATTAGAAGCCGACAAGAGGAGGAAGGGAGGAAGGAGGTAGAGTAGAAGACTCAAAAATTCCACAGAGGAGACAGATAAGCGAAGCTTTCCCAACAAGCGGTGATGTCAGGAGAGGAAAGAGCATTAGGCAAGATGAGGGTGAGGGAGGAGGAGGTGGTTTAAGTATGACAGGAAGAAAGGGCTACAGACTCAAAGGAGACTTAGGGAAGTGGTCTGAAAACACTAAGCCATTAAGAAGACATAAACAGTAAGGAGGTGGGCTGACTGTTTGTTTGTGGTCATTATGATAATTGTATCCTTAAGTTGTATTGTCATGGTCGAGCATTAGCATGCATTATCCACCATTATTGGTGGACACATTTATTTGCTTACAGACTGTGTACAATGCTGTTTATTATATTGTTTATTCTACAATGGGTATTGAAAGTAAGGTCTTATTTCATTGTTTACAGTAATTGATTGATTTTTCTAACTGAACACAATACATTCCCAAAACTGTACAACATAAGCTATCTGTATTGCAGCTACTTTATAGTGACATCATGAGGATTTGCTTATTGCCCTGTATGATCATCCCAGCCAGTCCCTCTATGCAACCACAGGTCAATATCCAGCTTGGAACAACCAAACTCATGCCCACAAAGTCTGCCCGGAACCTGGGTGTCATGATTGATGACCAGGTAACTTTTAAGGTTCAAATAGCCTTGATTGCCCGGTCATGTCGGTTTGCCTTGTACAACATCAGGAAGATCAGACCTTACCTGTCAGAACATGCTACACAGCTCCTGGTACAGGCTCTTGTGATATCACGCATCGATTATTGCAACTCTCTACTGGCAGGTCTTCCTACATGCACTATCAAACCTCTGCAAATGATACAAAATGCAGCAGCACGACTGGTCTTCAACCTTCTTTAAAGAGCACATGTCACTCCACTGTTCATCTCCTTACACTGGCTCCCAGTTACTGCTCAAATTTAAAACTCTGCTGCTCGCTTACAAAACAGCGACAAAACGGCTCCTCCTTACTTTAACCCTCTCATCCAGGTCTACACTCCCTCCCGCCCAATACGTTCTGCCAATGAAAGGTGTCTGATCCAACCTTCACAACAGGGTCCTAAGTCTCTGACTAGACTCTTCTCCTTTGTCGCCCCCGGTGGTGGAATGAACTTCCAAACTCCATTCAATCTGCAGAGTCCCTCTGCACCTTTAAGAAAAAGCTAAAGACCCAGCTCTTTCATGAATACCTACTAACTTAATGATGATGGTCTCCATATTATTGATGATGATGATGGTTGTGACGATGGTTTTTGTTTGATAACAACGACTTGTAAGATGGTTTCTATACTGGTTAGAGCTCTCAAGAACTGCCGTCAATGTTGTGCTTTGCCTCTGGTCACTTCCTGTCAGCACCTGTGTGTCCAATCGGACTCAAAGCTGATAGTTTGCTCTTACTGACATTGTTCCCTTTTTTCTAGATCCTTGCTTGTGTTGTACTTACTCTCTGATGTACGTCGCTTTGGATAAAAGTGTCTGCTAAGTGAATTGTATGATGTAGGATTAATAAAAAAAAATTAAAAATTAAATACTGCAAACAAAGCTTCCCAAAAAGTGCCAAAACTAGACAATTTTGGACCACAGGAACTTTTTCATAGTTCTAGGAACTGTTGGCACCCTCCCCCTTTTTTTATTGATCCCTCACCACAGGAGCTATGAACTATTTTAGTCCCCAGAACCCGGTTTAGTGGAACCTTTGTAGCTCCTCCTTCTGAGTAGGTACCATGGTGGTGCGAATGCAGAGAGAAAAAGTCCAGGGTGTGTAGTTCTCAGGGAACTCCCTAGTGTGTTCCTCTTCAAAAAGTCCCCAGAACTGTTTGGTACGAAAACACCATGTATTGATGTATGCTAGATTTTTTCCAAGTAGTTTATTTGAAGTTTATTTATGTTGAAACAATGCAAAAATTGCAGTTACACTGAACATATTAAAACATCAAATATAGGTGCTTTAACCTCACTTTAAGAAATATATTAAATTAAATATTTATTACTTTCTTCATTGACTTAATACCAGTTGGACTTTTGATTATGTTGCTGTGTTCAAGGAACTTTATGTGTGTGTGTGTAACTTTTGCTGCTTTGCTAAAGTGCTCATGATGGATAGGCCGGATCTTTGTAACATAGCAATAAGTAAGGTCTTTTTACCCGCTCTTTTGTAATGTTAACAGACAAAGAGTAAGGTATTTTACCTGCTTTTTGTAAAGTGTCTTGAGATAACTCTTGTTATGAGTTGACGCTATACAAATAAATTGAATTGAATTGAATTGAATTGAATTGTTTATTTGCATGTGTGAATGTGTTTTAAATCTTTCTTTTTACCTATGACTTTCTTGTTTTAGTCCTCATCCTATTACAGTGTTCATGTTTTTCTTGTGTACCAAGATAAAGTATATTTTCTGTATAACACTTTATCACTTGATACAAAACTTCTAAGGGGGAAAAAAGTTCACATTTTTGCGAAGATGTTTTGTTTGCATCCTTTTCTGTAGTTAAATCCGAAGACTCCTCTCGAACCCTGTTGGCTTAGTCTTTTTTTTTGTATAGAAAAAAACAAACAGTAAAAGATATGATGCATTGCATTTTTTGTAACCTAGATTGCAGTTTATGGTGTAACTTTGGAATGAAATCAGTTGCATGAAAAGGTTGCTTCATGGTGTTAAATTGGGAGTTTGTCGCTGTCCTTGGTGTTGAACTGCACCTCTCATTATGGAGAGCTTTGCAAGGTCTTTGATTCTACAACAGCAGCG